TATATATATACACCCAGTCAAATCAAGACAAGATATTTTGGAATCCTGGGCTTTGCATTAGACTTCTCTATTTTTATGTACCTTGGAAAACTGCCTGATGAACTTTGAGCAAGTGAAATATTTATGGAAGATATTTATGAGTGCAAGCAATAAGGCAATTATGAACAAGGCCACCCATCCTGAGCCTCTTAGTTAACCATATAAACTTGACCCAGGGGATGGAAACATTGACATTTCACAATTCACAACAAAGAGTGTTGAAGCAATGGGATCAGCACACCTTTAAAGACTTCTGATAGAAATTACCTGTAAACAAGAGGCAACTTTGTTGTACTAATCTGTTCTCTGCATTGTTCCTTTCAATTGTGTTTTTTTGCCCATAGATATACAAAAAATTTCTTGACCTAGTCTTTTATTTTTCAGGTTTGTTAGTGGATTTGAAATTGTTATTGATTTAATTGACACCAATGTGGCATTGCTACTGGGAAGATCGTTAAATGTAAGCATCAGACGGTGTTTGGCTGTTGGTGGCTCCATGCAACATATATGGTGCCCTTTTTCCAACCTGAGCACCTGCCCCCAAAAATGTTTGTGCAGGCCACTGCACTAGAGTCAAAAGAAGCAGCTAGCATCTAAAAGGCACATTCACCACCTAGGCAAACATAGATACACAAGGCGTTTAATTAGCTGTCCTGGTTGAAAAAAGCATTTAGCAGCTGCTCATTTGTGCTTTGGCCACCGTGTGGAGCTCTTACTTCAATAATCAGGTCACTTTAAATTAAGAAAAATAAGGTATTTCTTTTTTTTTAGATGCATAATAATAAAAATGATTCTAAAGTGAAAATATACTTATGTATAGTGCAGTTATTTTAGTGGTCAATTATGGAAATTATTCAAACGCCTGTTAAAATTGTATTCCAAAAAGTAAGTTGTTTGGAATTAGCTAAGGTATTCAAAAAATCAAAACACATTAAATTATTGATTTCAGGAGTGATATATATTTTCATCAGATAAAATAGCATGGAAACCTCCTGTATAACAAACCACAGCACCTCACACCTAAATGTGTTGACTCACTGCATAAATGCATAAGAAAAACATATTAAAACTGATTACTTTACTCTTTACTGCTCATCCATCTACAAGACATTTTCAGGCAGCCATTAAAATCAGAACTAGTAAGTGACATTAGTCTGGCTTTCAGGCATGTTGTCAGAGTGGTCTAAAGATGAAAGTTTCCTTGGAAGATAGTTCAATGAGTGCTAATGAGATCTGTTTCCTGTGCCTCACAGGCTGCAGATTAGTTTACTATCGACGGTGCTGTCCAAGAGCGACCATTAGTTTGGGGAATACCTCAGTAGAGACATTGCTGGCGGCATGACTGATAATCTGTACGGCGGAGCAGACTGAATGAAAAACAAAGCTGGACTTCATTTTGTGGGGTCAAATAGGTTTTGGCCTCGTTTCACGCACACATCTCACTCAGGGATACAGATTATCAGCTCAAAATGTGGCAAAATTAACAAACAGAAATGCATAAACGTCTCAGCATTTTGCCTGTGTGTTCGATTGGTTCTTCCTGTAATTTATAAATTGTGTTATGTGTCTTATTGAATTTCCCCCCTTTCTCACACAGAGCTAAATGTTTAGTATGGATTTTCATTAGAGGCAATGGAGTGAAAGCTCTGTTAGCAAACTATCTTTGAGAGAGTAAAGCACCCTGGGCTGATGTGCAAATCAACAACACCAGAAACACACAGCGGCCAGCGGCTTGGACAAAGGATGCCTAGAAGAATAGCTATATCTATCCTTTATTTTTTCCTTTTTTTTAATTAAAATAATGAAATAAGGTTTTCTCTTTCTGTATAATAAAAAAAGATTGCCAGAATTTTGTCATAAGATGGATATGGAATCTAACTTTGTGGAATGCATGACATATTTGTTTTTAGGGTCTTTATAAATGTTCTACTCTTAGTTCAGATTTAAATTACAATAAAAATACAACATTTATTAATTCATGATTTTTTTTCTTTTAGATCATTATTTTATATTCATAGCAAACCATTAACATTTTTTAAATAAAAGTTAACCATTTCAAATTCTGTCATGTCTTTTGATGTTGGTGTACCACTTTAGTGACCTTTTTTTCATAACAGAATTTAGAACCTGTCTATCCCAATATCATGATAAAAAGTATTTGTAAGAGTCTTCAATAACCTGTGTTAAGAAACGAGTCTAGTCATTTTAAAAAGTTCCGTCATATTGAAAAAATATGCATCATGCAGTACAAAATATGCATCATGTTTTTGTAGTTCAAATCTTTATTGTCTTATACACATTATATCCTCTTTTTATCTAATTTACGCAGTCAAAATGCCGCTTCCTTTTCATCAGATCCACCCCCTCCTCTTGAAGACTCCACTGCTGCCCAGTAACTTAGGTCAGTTGATGGGACGATTTGTTCCATGGCTGACCCAAAGAAAACCCCAACCACCAAACACCCATCCAACCTCATGTTTATACTTCCATGATGACTCCAACCTGCCCAATCAGACTTCCAGTGACCCGCCCTGAACTGAAACTGTATCCATCTAAACCATCCCAGCCATTCCAAGCAGCGACTGGAGACTAGAGCTGCATTAATTGCATGAAAAGCCCTGGTATTGCACCGAGGCTAATGCATTTAGTGTTTCTAATTGGGAGGGAATTGCTGTGTTTATATTGGCAGTGGTTAATAGAGCTAGATCTTTTAGCCCTTCAGCCAAATAAGTGAAAGCTCCCAGATTTTTTTTCCTTCTTTAGACTTTCTTCAGGTAAATTATGTGAGATGCCTTGCTTTGCCCTAATTTCAAACAAAAAAGAATTACCAGTGGCTGCTGCCGAACCTTTTTCCCACGTAGATTGATTTTAAAAGGAAAGGCATCTAATCTAACTGTGCAACTCAATAAAAACTACTGTTTTCCAATGCTGAGAAATATATACGATGAACAGCACCACCCTGGTGTTCTTTGAGTTTTGAATGTGGAACACATTTCATGTTTTTAGTGGATTTAAACACATAAATGAACTATAAAACAGGCAGAGTCGAAATCTGACAAGTAAATCAGATTATTAAAAAGGTATTTTTCAAATGTGTGAAAACCACTTCAACTTTTTCGCATTTTGTCACAAAATAATTGCAGTGTAATGTAAATGGGCTTTCACGTGATAGAGCAACAGAAAGCATGAACGCAACTGTAAAAGCTAAAGAAAGCTTCACTTTTTTTTAAACCTCATTTTTCTGACTAAACACGCACATCAGGCAAAGATACTGTAAATCAGAGAAGCAGCCAAGAAATCCAAGTTTGCACAGGAGCTCTGATGACAGTCGCACTGTG